GCGCAAGGTGTCATGGTTCCAACTTTTGGGGTTTCCAAGAGATGTTCAAAACACTGTAGAGGACCTCTCCTTTCATGGTCATAAGATTTTCTCGGAGATCACAAATGACTCTCTGAAGGCTTTGAAGGACTCTGGGGGTACCCTACGTTATTTGGGCATTTATACACCTTTCAGTAAGAGATGTTTCAGTAGGTCACAGACTGCCCAGAGATCTTACCCAGCTCAGTTTGGAGTACCATCAACTCTCAAAACCCTAAGGAAAGATTTCAGAGGAAGAGGACCACCCAGGTGTCATCTAAACCACAGTTCTGTTAGGTTGGTTGAAGGTTCAAATCCTCTGTCCTCTGATTTCACAGTTGTGCCCCTTAGCCCACATCCCTCCCTTTGGGGACTGCCTTGTCCATTTTCACCAGGCTTGGGAATGGATCCCATGAAGCAATGGATCTTGGATGTCATAACTTTGGACTACGCCCTCCTTTTCCTGTCCCTCTTTAGGGATCCCTCTTATGAGCTTCTACTGAATGAAGAGGGTGACTCCTCTGGCCAGAAGCAATAGAACTGGTCCCTTCCCCTTACAGGAGTAGGGGGTTCTACTCAAAATACTTTCTAGTACTGAAAAGGGATGGATGTTGGAGGCCAATCTTAAATCTAAGACAGCTGAACAAGTTTGTGAAACCTCAAAAGTTCAGGATGGTGACTCTGGCAACTCTTAATTTCTTCACTAGAGGAAGGGGATTGGTTTTCGTCCCTCAACCTACAAGATGCCTACTTCTGTAGAACTATACACCCATTGCACAAGAAATACCGATGTTTCATGATAGGCCAAGACCGTTTCCAGTATCAAGTGCTCCCCTTCAGCCTATCCTCTGCCCCAAACGTGTTTTTGAAGGTTCTAGCAGTAGTGGCAGCTCACCTTCAGCAGGAAACAATTCTCAGACCTCAGTGACTGGCTACTCACGGGCTGCTCTTTTGAGGCAGTTTTCGACCCAGAAGGCCCTGGCTCTGTTCTGGGAGTTGGGCCTACAGTTAAATGTAAAGAAATCCTGACCATTCCTCATTCCCTGTCTCAGGATATGGGCCGTGCACTTCACCCCAACCTGGCTCCTGGATAGTTGTCAGGAATAGACGTTTCCTGCTCTACGGAGGTGCAGCAGGTGTTATTAAACAGTAGGAAAAACATGAATGCACATTACATACCTGCAGAAATGGAAGAGATTCATCTATTGGTTCACTCATTGTTCCCTCTGTCCAGAATCCGTTCCCCTTTCCCTCATGCTAGATTACCTGCTAGATCGGAAGACAACTGGGTTATCCATCAAGGTACACCTGGCTGCCATATCAGCCTTTCATCCATGGTTGATGGATTCTCTATTTTTGCTCATACGGTATAGTGCAGTTTTATTAAGGGTCTGGGGAATCTCTTCCCACACATTGGACACCCCCCACCATCCTGATTCTCAGCCACCTCATGAGGCCTCCATTTGAACCAATGGTTCATTTATCTATGAAGATGGCCGCCTTAGTTGCCATCACGTTGGCTGGTGGGGTCAAGGAGATTGGAATCTTGAGGGCAGATTCCCCACCCCCATTTTTGCCATGTTTTTATAATGCTAACGTTATAAAAACATCGTAAACTCCTCCCAATGGCTAAATTGGATTTTCATCTTAACCAATCTATCCATCTACCAGTTATTTTCCCCCAAAATCTCATAGTTCTCAGCATGAATCCTATTTCTATACTCTGGCCTTTTACCTGGGTGGGATTAAGCACTTCAGGAGATCTAGACTCGTTGGATCTTTCACAAATAGTTCTAGGGAATCGTCTATTTCTGCTCAAAGGCTTTCAAAATGGATATGCAGCAGACCCCATTTCCCCCTTCTCCCCCCCCACCCCACACACACAGTGGTCAGAGCACATTCAACCAGATGGCAGGCATCTGGTACATTTTTGAAGCATGTCCCAGTATATCTGAGCAATGTAGAACTGATCCTGTGGACTAAGGTCCATGTAGTTCAATGCATTATGCCCTGCTCTGTGCCGTCAGATCTGATGCGACATTTGGCTCTGCAGTACTGTCTTCAGTTCTGGAACCTGTTCTGAAGTGCCCTCCTCCTAGGGATACTGCTCGGAAGTCACGGACCCTACTCAAAGGAAACGTTTCCCTGTACTGTAACTAATTCTTTGAGATGCGCGTCCGTATGGGTGCTCTACTACTTGTCGTCTTTCCCCTCTGCTTTGGTTGTTCCGTAGGCCAAGGGGATGACTGATTAGAGAAGGAACTGAGGGTGGTTCACCCGTGCACCCATATATAGCCTCGGTGTCTGCCCCGAGGAGGGTGCATACACAGGCCAAACAGACACTGCTAGCTAGAAATCTCTGTTGAAGGGCTCCAGAGGAGGGGACACATCTTGAAGAACCACAGTTACTGTTCAGGGTGAGTAACGGTTCCTTATGTGGTTTAAAAAACAGCTGTTAAACTCATTCTGCTATTCCCAACTGGTGTCCAAGTGAAAATGTAGAATGTTCTAATTAAAAAGTACAAGCAGGACAGAAATCTGAATTTCCCAATATGTGGGTAGATCACTTCTGATATGGTCAGGATTTCAGTTCCTAAATGTTGCAGACACTGGGACAGATCCAGAAAAACTGGCATGAGGCACATATTCTAGGTCTGTGTGCCTGCTAAAACCACCTGTGTCAGAGGGAATTTATCCAGGGGAGGTTAAGTGGTTTGTCACCACTGCTAACTGATCTCCCCCATTTTTTCCACCAATAGGAGGGGGATGGTTCGGGTGTTCCATCAGGTCTCATTTGGAGTTTCACCACCAAGATGTCTTGGGTGTGCCCCCTTTCAGGTCAGTGTCACTTTGCAGGCTGCACTGGTCTGACTGTTCAGCAGTGTGGATTGTTTTAAATCAAAACAATTTTAATCAGCGAGCAAGAAACCTTGATTTACATCATTGCTTTTAATCTTATTTTGCATTTCTATTTTTTGGTTATTTTCGTAAAGGAAAGTCGATTCTCATTGGTTAGTAACCATTAAAACGTTGATTTGCAACTAAATAATTTAGCCTTTTTGCTAAGTTTGGTACTACTTTTTGCTAACTGGGAATACGTTCTATCTGTACGTATGTAACTAATGATATAGCTTAACGTACATTCAGATTTTGGTTTTTACATTTTTATTATGTTAGAAAAAGGTGAATGATGCATTTCTTAGCAGCAACGATTAATTTTTTTATTTGTGATTTGTGTCAAGCTCTCTTTGGATGGAAATTCAAATAAATTAAAAATCCAGAAAAACAGCATTTTAATTCTATTAAATAAAACTACTATGAAATGTGCTGAATACACAAGAAAAATGTTTATCGAAACATGTTTTTTATTTAAAACTGATTTAATAAAAGAAGTGTTAGCTGTAGTCAGGAAATTGAACTGGTTGTTTCTGGTTGCCTTGTCCTTCAAGATTTTAGAAGTAGTAGGTCTCATAATCTCTCACCTAGTTTTTATTCATAAATTGGTAGAGGAAAATAAGCTTGTTCAGCTCCCAGCTGGCTTCTTAACTTTGAATGAACTAGGCACTGAACTGAACAGGTTGAATAAACTGAAATTAAGAAAATACTCTCGCTGAACCTGCAGAAAAGGCCACTGCTTCAAAAGCTGATTTAGGACTCTGGTTTCAGGTGCTTGGCCAGTGACTTGCACTGTTTTCAGTGGTTTGATTTTTCTTTAAAGCTTTGAAAGCAAACCTAGTGTGTAATAATTTTTTTTATGTAAATAGTCAATTTAGGCCTTATCATAGGGTTGTCATAATTTTAAAATTAATTTTAAATGGGTTTACTTTTTAAAACAAAAATGTATTTAATTTAAATACAAATTCAATTTAAATAAAGCTTGTTAAATTTTTTTAATCATTGATTTTTATCTACCCTGTTGTTCGCCTGTGTAGGAGGTTGGAGTCTTTATGCCAGCACCTGGTTGTCTACCCACCACAAGGGCTTCAGCAGAGTTCATACTAACATCCTGGGGTGAATTTGGTCCACAATCTTTGTTCTGAATTCTGATTAGTTCTGATCAACTAACCCTGATTTCGCATATGACCAACAACAGGCTCATCACTGGATTACTTATGCTACAATTGAATTCCTTCGTTTAAAATTATCTCATCATGGTCTTTCAAGGTTTGTTTCTGGCAAGTTCATAGTATAGCGGATCACCAGCTCCACTATATTTAAAGTTGAGAAGCCATCACTACGTAAAAATTGACTCTTTCAAGTGCTCTAAAATCTGCATGTCTACTCAGAATGTTTACTTGCCTTGAAATTTGGGGTGCCATGTGGGGTCGAATTAGTGATCCACTAGCAAGGGATTCATTAGGGTCCGTCCCCCCCCACATGTGAAGGCTTGCTGGGAAGGGTTGGGGGCTAGGGACAGAGGGGTGTGAGGCTGCAGCGAGTGGGATAAATGGGAGTAGGCGGTGACACGAAGGGAGGGTGGTAGAACCTGTCAGCTCCACATTCTTCACACCCATATGTGCTGGGAGCTGTGGGATCTGATCTCCTCTCCCTGCCCCCAGGTGAACCAGGTAACAGAAATTTAAACGTGAAAACCAGGAAATAAGGTACACGCCTGGCTGGAGTGGGGGCAGGAGCCAGCTTGGAGTGGGGTGGACTGGAGAAGACCAGCAGGGGGCAGGAGGAAATAGTGGGGTATGGGGCTCAGCTCAGTGCACAGGTCAGGCTGCAGAACCAAGCAGGTATGCAACCCTCCGGTAAGCTGCTGCCAATAATGTGTATGCGGCAGAAGAGGATGCCAGATAACCAAGCACAGCTCTTCATATGTCAATAGCTTAATGGGAGAGGAAGAGGAGAGCAAGCTGGAAATGTTGGCAAGTGGCAGGAGGGGCTATATGTTTTGGGCAATGGTGAGGGAGGCGGTGGAGAAGGAGAGACATACCAGTCTTCTCGGATGTGCTTAGTTACAGTACCTACTTTGTCAAGATTCTGTGCCATAGACCATGTCTGGAGGCTTCTCTTCGGCCCATTTAGCAATGACACACTCCGGACATTTCGAAGCATGACGGTTATCTCTGTTCCACTACAACAGGTTACAGGACGGGGGAGGAAGTGCTTAGGAATCACTTAGCAACCATGTGGCCTGGGTGGAGAAAATACTGGATGGGGACTCAGGAGATCTGCATTCTATTCCTGGGGTAAGTCATTTTGCTTCTCTGTGCCTCAGTTTCCCCATCTGTTAAATGGGGATAATGATGGTTACCTCCTGTGTAAAGTGCTCTGAGAAGGACTAATAAAAAGTGCTATATTAAGAGCTAGGTTTGATTACCTCTCCTCAGCAGTATCTCAACCACAAACCTATGTGATAACTATAACAGCCTAAACGGCCACGAACGCCTACAGAAAACATCTTTTTTAAAAAACAAAACAAAAACAAAAACCACCAAACAAATCGGCTAATTCACTAATGCAAAGTGTTGTTAATGTGGAATTAAATTTGCCCTGCGGTGTCCTGTGCCTTTCCAGAACGCCTAAAAACCAGGAAATAAGGCTATGTCTACACTACGGGATTATTCCGATTTTACAGAAACCGGTTTTTGGCAACAGATCGTATAAAGTCGAATGTGTGCGGCCACACTAAGCACATTAATTCGGCGGTGTGCATCCATGTACTGGGGCTAGTGTCAATTTCCGGAGCGTTGCACTGTGGATAGCTATCCCATAGCTATCCCATAGTTCCCGCAGTCTCCTCCACCCATTGGAATTCTGGGTTGAGATCCCAATGCCTGATGGGGCCAAAAACATTGTCGTGGGTGGTTCTGGGTACATCCTCCCCCTCCCTCCGGGAAAGCAACGGCAAACAGCCGTTATGGGGACAGAGTAGGCAACGAGGTTTGCTACAGGGATTGGTTCCTGGGTTGGTGTTTCTGTGGTGTGGCGTGTAGTAACCAGTAATCTTGGTTACAGATTTAAATCCCTGCATCTGTAACTTTCACTCTATGCATCTGAAGAAGTGAGGTTTTTACCCACGAAAGCTTATGCCCAAATAAATCTGTTAGTCTTTAAGGTGCCACCAGACTCCTTGTTGTTTTTGTAGATATAGACTAACACGGCTATCCCCTGATACTTGACACCTTGCAGGTCATAGTGGATGGCTTTGCTGCAATGGGATTCCCTAACTGTGGTGGGGCGATAGATAGAACCCCTATCCCTATCTTGGCACCGGAGCACCAGCGCAGCCAGTACGTAAACCTAAAGGGGTACTTTTCAATGGTGCTGCAAGCACTAGTTGATCATAGGGGACATTTCACCAACATCAATGTGGGATGGCCGGGAAGGGTTCATGACGCTCGCGGCTGCAGCAAGGGACTTACTTCCCAGACCAGAAAATAACAGTTGGGGATGTTGAAATGCCTATAGTTATCCTTGGGGACCCAGCCCACCCCTTAATGCCATGGCTCATGAAGCCCTACGCAGGCAGCCTGGACAGTAGTCAGGACCTGTTCAACTACAGGCTGAGCAAGTGCAGAATGGTGGTAGAATGTGCATTTGGATGTTTAAAAGGTCGCTGGCTCACTTTACTGACTCGCTCAGACCTCTGCCAAGCCAATATTCCCATTGTTGTTGCTCCTTGCTGTGTGCGCCACAATCTCTGTGAGAGTAAGGGGGAGACCTTTATGGCGGGGTGGAGGCTGAGGCAAATTGCCTGGCCGCTGATTACACGCAGCCAGACACCAGGGCGATTAGAAGAGCACACCAGGAAGCGCTGCACATCCGAGAAGCTTTGAAAACCAGTTTCATGACTGGCCAGGCTACCGTGTGAAAGTTCTGTTTGTTTCTCCTTGATGAAAACCCGCCCCCTTGATTGACTCGTTCTCTGTAAGCAAGCCACCCTCCCCCTTCGATCCCAGCTTGCTTTCAAAGGGAATAAAGTCACTATCGTTTAAAAATCATGCATTCTGTATTAATTGATTATAAACTGAAAAGGTAGCCCGGGTGGGGGTTGGGAGGAGGATAGGAGGGAAGGAAAAGGCCACTAAAAAAGTTCAATATAATGACAGCCTTTTGGTTGGGCTGTCCACTGAGGTGGAGTGGGAGGGTGCACGGAGCCTCCCCTCCACCCCCCCGGCGTTCTTACACATCTGGGTGAGGAGGCTATGGAACATGGTGAGGGGGGAGGGAGGTTATACAGCGGCTGCAGCGGTACTCTGTCCTCCTGCTGCCGTTCCTGAAGCTCCACCAGACGCCGTAGCATGTCCATTTGATCACGCAGCAGCCTCAGCGTTGCAGCCTGCCACCTGTCATCTTGAGCGTCCCTCATGGCCTCATGTTCACTGGCATCTTTCCTGTACTCCTACCACTCATTCAGATGAGCTCTTTCGTTGCGGGTGGATTCCATGATTTCCGAGAACATTTTGTCTTGTGTCCTTTTTTCCGCCGCCTTATCTGAGATAGCCTTCAGGATGGAGGAGGGAGGCTCCGTGCACCCTCCCACTCCACCTCAGTGGACAGCCCAACCAAAAGGCTGTCATTATATTGAACTTTTTTAGTGGCCTTTTCCTTCCCTCCTATCCTCCTCCCAACCCCCACCCGGGCTACCTTTTCAGTTTATAATCAATTAATACAGAATGCATGATTTTTAAACGATAGTGACTTTATT